ATAACAAACGTCTCACGTGCTCGACTTCAACAATACTCAATTACACACTCTCTGACTGCAGTTCAATTACTCATTCTCTTCTTGCCGTCGCTTCTTGGCGGCTTATATATACAAGACTACCACATATCTAGTAAATGCTAGGGCATTCATGAAGGAACAGGATATTTCTAGAAACAGGTGGCGTGATACTAGTCACGTGACCTCACTGACGCAACACTACGTTTAAAATAATAACACGTAAGACATGTTCCACAACTTCGTATTAAAACATGTTTTCATAACATAATATACAGAGGTGTTGAGGTAAACATGATCAATGTTTCCGTATTTTGTAACGTCATCCATACTTAAAAAAAAAAACATTTAAAATATTATATGTAGGTGTGTAATATAATTATAAAAGCAAAGCGAGAGGTAAGCATGTAACATTGTTCAATACCGTATATTGTTGTACTTTGTGTGTTTCCAGTGCATACAACACAGGACGATAGAAATCACAGATTTGTTGTTGTTATTTACATCTTAATTTATTCATTAAGGATTTCAAATCAGAAGCGTGTAAAAATAGTTTCAAATCTATCTGAAAACAAGAGAAAAAAATTCCTAAGTAAATTTTATCAAGAATATTAATCCATATTCATTTTCAATGCTTCACCAGATTTCAGCGTTCAAACTGTAGCTTTTAAAATTCTTGTTAAGGATGAATAAATAGCATTTCAGATACGCTTTCTCTCACTGTTCAGCTCAATTCACAGGTTCTGGTATTGAAAGAAATACTTCTTGGTCAGTCAAAAGTTATTTGAAATTCGTGCAAAACTACACTAAGATTATCTTTTCTAGCCGTCCTTTATTTTGAAGTGATAGGTTAGTTAGAGGAAAGGCAGCTAGCTAACAAAACTCACTTGGATTACTCTTGCCAGCCTTAAAAGTGGTATTTGACTGACACTTTTATAATACACCCCACGATCCCAAAGTGCAGAGCACGTTTTTCTTGTGGTAAGGGGACGCAAAGCACGAATCTCAGGTCCACAGTCCGACACGTTAACCACTGGTTTGAGTTCGGCTACAGCTGTCAAAAGACATACCTGAAATATCATTTTACACATCTCTGGTCTGAAAACTGTAATGGGAAACTGAAGATAGTGACAAAGATGATAAATCCGCATTCCAATGACGCATATTACACCGGATTGGTTTGTAATTCTTCGTCAGCTTTTGGCATTCAAATTGTAATTTTAAAGTTTAATACTAGTTCGATTTTTATTTTCTCGTTTGACTTGCATTCCAACAATGTTTCCACAACTTAATAAAAAAAGAAGACACGACGAATTTCAGAGAAAATAAAGTTAAGTTTAAATAAACATTAACCTTTACACCAGCTTATCTTCGATACTTAATTTCTAGAGTATTTCATCCCTTGTTCTACAACACCATAAACAGTTCGTCAGATAAATATATCTATTTCTTTTTACAGTGAAACTTTATTCTGATAGATGTGATACTTTCTTCACTTTTGGCGATTAGGCCTATAAACAGTATCACTAACTCTTCTGATATATAAACAGTTCGATTTCGAGAGAAGAAAAAAAAAGCGCTTATACACGCACGTACACAGGAAGGGTTCGACCGAACCCCTATTTTTATGATGTAAAAAAGATGATGCTTATATAGTTATAGCGCATCTACTTATCGTATTTAACGTTTTCTATATTCTCCACATTCTTCTGATGAAGCATTAGCATTTTTTTGGCTTGAAATAGTCGCATGCCCCCAGACCCCCGTAGAATTTGCATGCTGATTGTGCTTCGCACAAGATGTGTTTGCTTTTGATTTCACTAATTAGAAGCCTCCTTTCAAACATTCTGCGTAGGAGCCCGTTATGCTAAAAAACAACTACTGATTATCTCAACAACCCTTCAGCGAACTTAACATGAAGTATCTAAAGTTCAACTTGATACAAGGTTCGTGTGTTTTTTACCTTTACTATGCGAAACAAAATATGCTGCTACACGGAAAAGCTAATTTGGTAACATTTTTATCACCGACTTGGCTGACGAAGGACAGCTGATACTCCTACAGTTTAGTTTTTAAATGATCATGATATGAATTTTGTTATCCATTCAGATCATTGCTCTATAGCCAGGCACTGTATAAACTATACTCTCTTTCGATGCATGCTTTGTTACACTACAGGGGCTCTCTATACTCTGCCCACGGCGGATATATAAATCTGATCTTTAGCGTTAAGTTTTAAGATTAACCGCTGAGTCTCCGGAGGGTTCTATGCATGAAACAAACTTGGTAACAAAAAAATGAGTAAAGCTGAAAGATTAGGTCTGTAATTAGTGATAAGTTACATCTTTTAATAATGATTACCAACTGCAGAATTGAGCTATTCGTATCTTTATCCCCAATATTCAGAGTGAGTTACGGATGACTAAGAGTAAGAAAAATGTTGTATATTTGAAATTCGAACTATAACATAGTTTGATGTGCTCGTACTCAATTTCGAGTTAAGTTTTACATGTTTTTTCATCTCGAAGCGGTATACTATTCAACCTAGCACAAGTTTCGACTGGAATATTTTTAGGTTAACTGTAATGCAGAAAACAAATTTATGTGACAAATCATCAAAAAGAGGCTTACTTTCCACCAGTCTTTTTTTTTGGGGGGGGGGGGAGGGTGCTTGTTGACACCTCTCCACCCATTAAGTCTCTAAGAATCTTAGCTCCAATCTAGTCTCATTCTTCCGATGATGTGTGTGTGTATGTGAATTTAATTGATTTGTTTACTTTGTAATTACGCACAAAGCTACACAATGGGCTATCTGTGCTCTGCCCACCACGGGTATCGAAACCCGGATTCTAGCGTTGTAAGTCCGCAGACATACCGCTGTGCCACTGGGGGGGCTTTTAATTTATTTATATTATAATTTTATTTTTTTCTATTTAATTGATATATATATTTACTTATTCTATTTTTTAATTTTTGATTCCATTTTCATTATTTTTTTCACCATGCCTCTCAATTAAATCCTTTTCTGTGAACGAATGTTTGTTTGTTATGAATTTTGCGCAAAGCTACATGAGGCTATCTGCGCTAGCCGTCCCTAATTTAGCAGTGTAAGACTAGAGGGAAGGGAGCTAGTCATCACCACCAACCGCCAACTCTTTTACCAACGAATAGTAGGATTGACCGTCACATTATAATGCCCCCACGGCTAAAAGGGCGAGCACGTTTGGTGTTAACTAGGATTCGAACTCGCAGATTGCGAGTCGAGCGCCCTAACCACCCGCCCATGCCAGGCTCGAACGAATGAAGAGAAACCTTCTTTCTGAACACCTCTCGGGTTCGAGTCTTCGGATTTATACCGAAATTCCTACCATGTTCAAAGCTCAACGAGTAACCTGATTGATAACGTGCCCTGTCCCTTTTTCCCGTTAACATTCTTGTTTCGTTTCTTACTTATAATAATAAGTTGGACTGCAATTTACCAGACACCACTTAAGAAAAAAGACGATTAAAAATACGAAAGGCACTTCCAATGTGTTGCTGTCCCGTAGAGACAAATTTCTTGGGAGTTGATTTTCGGTTTGACAAAAATTATTATTATTCTATGAAAATACAAACGACGAAGCGTTCAAATTTCGTGAAAATTTTTTTACTTCTTTCACTCAATCTTATGAAGGAATAGATTTATGAATGTCCTTGAATTGGATTAAATTGTCTGGCTTCCAATAATTTTCATAAACGTAAAGTCGAGATGTACCACAAAAGTAAGCAAATCGGTTTTATTAAAAAACCTGTACAAAAACATTTTTTTCAAAATAATTAATAACTGTTTTGCTGCACCATCCTAGCTTCTGAAAACGATGATTATATACCTTATGTTTAATTTTAATTTTTTCCGCAGAAGAGGTATATGATTTGATGAGAATCAACACTTTTTTATGCAATAAACCTTAATCACTTCAGTTTTACATTTGGTTTTCTTTGTGTAGTTTTGTATAAGTACTTTGGAGCAAACAAGACAAGTCTATGATAAAAATTTTTTATTAAATTCATGGAAGATCTGAGGTTACATTTCATGCAACTAGTTTACCAGCAATCTCTCTGTTAGTCAGCAAGCATAGAATTTGTACCTCTGAGTTCAGAAGAAGAAGCTGCAGAAACATTCAGACTTGTTTTAAAGCAGTAAGTTCTTCCAATCTCTTTTAAGAAGTGAACGTTCTGATTTAACACAGATAAAACAAAGTATCAAAGACATTATTCACAATATTAAGTAAACAGAAAGCAAATATGCTATATCTAATACACTAGTTCATAAATCAAGTATCTTAACTTCAACTCAAAATCATAATTCTTATTTGTAGCATCACAGAAAACTAATCTACCTCATTTTCATATTCTAAAAGCAAACCATATTTAAAAGCTTTAAACTCGTTTTACAGCTCCTGAAATAAATACCATAACTTTTTGTATCAGCTATTTTGCAGACATTTTCAGTATCACACACTGCTTCAGAAAAAACAAACACATTTTAATGTAACAGGAAAAATGTCAGTATGACTAGAGCTTCTAAAAACTAGAAATTTTATTTGTTGTATTTGTAACGATCTTCTTCAAGCTGTATTTTGATTGACTTTGTCTTCTGAAGTTTAAAAAATGTCCTCAATTTTAATTTATTTTTTTGTATTTTACAAAATTACTAACCTGTCTAAGGAAGCTTACTTCAGTGTAAAATGTCAAGTGTTTCAATTTGAAGATTTCTATGTTTATAAGCTAATTGGTGAAATAATTATTAGAATGCTTTACAAGTTTTGAATTTTACTTATAGATCTATACAATAAAAGTAAGATTGTTTTAGATCTGCAAGTAAGCCAAGACAATTCTTATTTGGTCATTTACAAAAGCTTCAACCACATTTTTAGTATTTATACAAGAAAAACAATTTTTCATAGTGAGGTCACACTGTTATAAAAGCAAAATTGTCTGTCTTTGGTAATTGAGTCTAAAGCTGATTTTTAAAAATTGATGAAAGAGTTTATAAATATAATTTTCTGATACTAATTTTATTAATGAGAAAAAAAAATTAAATACTACATACATTCAATTAATTCCAGCCTCAATAATAATAAACCAACTTCAATATTAATAATCATAATTAGCATTTTTTTTTTAAATCAAAACATCTACTGTTTTAAAATGCTTGAAAGTAAGTGTACAGCTTTCCAAATTTTCTAACAGTATAAAAGAAATATGAAAGTAACTTCCTTCTCTAACAGATAATGAGAAAGCTGGTAAACTAGGTAAACCAACAACATCATGAATACCTGGATTCTGTCAATAACTTACAAACTCTGTACAAGATTAACTTGAGAATATATTATTCTACTTGATAAAACACTTTTCATACATGTATACATATTTTAGATGGGGTTTTAAAATACATACTGCGGATACTTTTCACAACAAATCTTTCAAACTGACCAATGGAGGGTCATAATGAGCAACTTTTTAGAAGGCCACTCTGTTCAAATGACAAGTGAAAGTGGTAAGGATGCTAACTGTATGTAAGAAAGACCACCACATGGCAAGAAAATAGTTAGATTTGAGACATTAAGTTTTTAGAAATTAAAGTTTTTTTACAAAAAGAATATGGATAGAGTTAACAAACCAAATACTACCTGCTTCAACAAGACATGATTATTTGAGAAAACTGAAAAATAACTTGGATGAAAAATAGGAGCACTCTAATAACAGAGAAAAACTAAGATATTTTCTATTTAATAAGTGCTTAATGGAAGATTAAATAAAAATAATTAAGGTATCAAAGTCATGAATAAGTTTACTGCAAGGGTCACAGAATACTGCAAACATTCCAAATGAATGGGACTTTTGTAGAAACCATTCTCTTCTCTTCTTTTAAACATCAACATATAATATACGGTCATAAAACATTATCTAGAATATATTTAAAACTGCCTTAAATTAACTGATTCTTTTCATTGGAGTGTTCCTATATTTCACCCATAAAGTTCATTCTGCAACTCGATTAAGTTTCAAGTCCCATTTTGTTCCAGTTGCTTCAACTAGTCAACATGTTGTTGCTGCAGGTACTTTCTATTTTTGCAAGAAATCCATAAATTTGTGAACCAAATCTGAATTTGCTTAAAAATCGACTTAACTGTCTCACATTCATTCATTGAGAATTATTATTATAAGCTAAAACAAGTACTGCACTACAGACAGCTATTAGTTTGAGTTCTTCAATGGACAAGTTCTGTACCACTTTGTAAATTCAACAGCAACGAGCCCTTAAGGTACAGCAAAGTGCATTGAAGATTTCCATCAAAGTGCCCAATAATACATTACATATAAAAAAAGAAGCCAATCAAAGAAAACAAATGGCATCCAATTTAAATTATAGAAAATTTCAAAACAGCTTATAACACTTTGACAAGCTTGTCTAAAGTTTAACTCAAGAAATATCAATACTGAAATTTGCATCATGAATTTAGCAATTTAAACATATTTTTTGCTGAGCTAAGACTACACAGCCAACTCATCTAAAATTCTACTCATAAGCTTGAGTTGATAAAATTAATAGTTCATAATGATAAGCTCTCTCACTCAAAACTTCACTGTAGCATACTGCCTATGACATCCAAGTTTTTTAAAACTCGGTAAATTCAGAATATTAAATATCTTTACTAGTTACAAGATCTACAAGCTTTCCTTCATCTTCTTTTTGTTTTTCTTTTCTTAATCTAGCCTATAAAAGAAAAAAATATATATTTTGAGATTTGCAACTTATAACTATCATTGCAATTTCTGCATTAACAGAAATAACTTGCACATAAACCAAATAACCTACGAAATGCATATCAACCTGCACAATACCAAGATATCAGATAGATAAATATGATCAATACAATTTATTTCTACTCTACTTGAAGTTTTTAATTAACATATCTTTAGTATCTGGAAAATAAAAACTATATTAGTAAAAACACTTGACCTGATACAAAAACTGTGAATACATAATGAACCTATATTTGTCATCAAAGGATTAAGAAATTATACATAATGAACCCATGTATATCATCAAATGGTTAAGAAACCACACAAAATTGTGCTAAGACTAAAATTATATGTTACATTAGGCACACACACACATACATGCAAAAAAAAGGTTCATGTATAGAAAACAGAACATAATATTATTCTCCATAAACACACACACATATACAAAAAAAAAAGCTTCATGTATACAGAACAAAACATAATACTATTCTCCATAAACAAAAAAAAACAACATAAAATCTAACATTTAAGACTAGAATTATGTAAAACACCATTTTATGCCTGCACAAATATTCATTTCTAAAAGCCACTGGATTATTAGTAATGAGACGTTCAAAGTTGGGAAAAAAATTTATGAATAATGATTTTATTTTCTATTTACTGAGATTGTAGGAACTTAGAATAGCGAATGCAATACCTTTTTATAAAAGTTAAGAACATTGTAATCATAAGGTTTTTTGGCAGAAGAGGAGTACAACTTAATAAAAACTTCAGTAAAAAAATCAAGCCCAATAACACAGTATAAAATATTCACAAAATCTGTTTAGAAAAACATAATACTATGTGCCCATTATACTTTGTCTATTATAACTAAAACATTTCCACCCTACTAATAACAAATTGCCCCAATAATACTACAACAACATTAAGGATTAAAAGTATTTTCAAACCTTTCTTTATGTTCCTCTGCTGTCTTGAGAAACTTGGCTGTCCTTCCAGGTTGAAGCAGCCTTCCATTACCAAACAGGAAAGTATCAGAATGAGGTTGTTCAATCACTGTTTCACGATCTTTTGTCCCTTCTCTAACAAAAAAATTTTGACTAGGCAACTTTGGCCAGTTTTTGAAGTCAACAGACTCACAGCTAGAGGGCTTTAGCTCATTACGTATCAATATACTTTTAGTAAGATGGCTGGTGTTTAATGTTGGGTCATCCTCTGTAACAGAGTCCCTTTCATGCACACTCAATTCTTCTAAACTGGATTCCACATTATTTCTCACATTTAGCAACACCATTTCTGTTGCCTGCTGTGAACAAGGGACATTACAGTAACAGCCAGAGTCATCTGAGTGGTAGGAAGATGGCCTTTTCCTTCCCAGAGCTGCTTGACTAGAATCTTTCTCAGAAATGAAACAGCTTCCTGACCTTCCTTCCTCTTCAAAACAACAAGAATACTGTTCACTGCCCTCCCATGATCCATTTGATTTGAAATGTGTACAGGAACTATGTACTTTGGCACTGGAAAAAATCTGATTGTGTTGCAAGAGTGGTGATAAAGTGGAAACTGAACTAAATGACACAAAGCCAACATTCTCATTTTCTTCTTCACTCTTCTCACAGCATATTGAATTGTTTTGGACGGAACTTGATACTACAAGTCTGGTCTCAGCTGGTGGTTCCGGAGAAAGAGAGTTAGGTGATTCAGGTAGGTGGCTGTCTGATTTACAGCTAGAAATATGTCTCAATGTCTGCTGCAGTAATGTTGGAGAAGGAGCTTGAGAATGGACAGAAAGTCTTTGAAGTCCTGTGGACAGAGACACCTTTGCTGAGGACAAAGACTCTTCTGGACTGATTGGGCTTGAAGGAGGAGTTGGTGCTCCTGAGGGAGATGGAAGGTCATAAGAACAGCTGGGGGACAAAATTGCTGGCTGTTCCACAATCTTCTTTTGTCCCTTAAAAAGAAAATGTGTATTGAAAGGATTCTGTGAGTTGCTATTGGGGACATAATGGGGGTCATCTTTTGACATTACATCCCCAATGTCTTTTGGAGTCACAGGAGGGGCCCTGATTTTACGAGGAGTTTCAACCGGTATCAGCTGTTGGTTGTCTTCACACCAGCTTCTCCGGTTACTGACTAAGTAAAATAATCAGAACAGGAAAGACGTCTTAAAACATAGTTTTCTCAGTACTCATCTTATAAACTCAATACCTGAATGACAAAAATAATCTTATGAAACTAAAGTTACTTATCCTAATATCAAAACTTTCACATATCTTCAACTGGTAGTTTTGTACTTTGTATAACTATATAAACAAAAATGATAAAAGTTAAAATTTTCTTATTTATTGAACACAAAAAAGGAATAATCTTTACCATATTACATAAACAATATATTGTTACACAGAAAAGAAAATATAAGGATATCTTGTTAAACTGAAAAAGTACACATACTTTCTTTTTACAAAGAAAAGAAATACAGAGAGTATATGCTATACAGAGAAAGTATGTCCTTATCTCGCAATAAGATATATAATACAAATGTATTATGTAAACTAAAACATGACATTTTTAACTTCTTACAATGACAAAAAAAAATCCAAACCTTCATTCTAACACAAAAAAGGGTACAGGAGTAACTTGTTGAAAAAAAAAAGGAATTGTTGCACCGAAGGAGAGATTCATTTCTTTCTTTATCTTGTTACAAAAATATGGACACCATATTATTCATAAAAGGGTACATTTTAATTTTTGAAGGTCAAATATTCACATAATTTGGAGACATAAGAGATGTTACTTTCACCTGCTGATAGTCCATGGTTTGTATATCTATTTTTCATTAATGAACTACAACTGCTAGGCCTAACCTGCTCTCAAAGCTTTTTATCTGCTTTACACATCTTTTAAAGTATTGTTTAAACATACTATTTGCCATATTTCATTGACATAACCTATATAATTCTGAATCTATCAATATTTTCAAGACTTTCTACAAACAAATCATGCAATTTTCTGTTACCGTAAATTGGTCCTAAATGAGTAACTCTCATCTCTTTACTCTCAAGTTCTCATATCAATCCAAACTATATAAATTTTTTACGATTTACAAAGAATTTTAAATATATTCAACTGTATTCTACAAAATAACACCACAACATTACAACAAAAAATGCTAAAACCCCAAATTATATCCAAGTTGACCTGTTTCACTCTAAGCCTAAGAACCTTACATTCTCTTTTCTCTTCTGGTAAAAAAAATCATTCACAATAATTGGCTCATTAGAGAGATTACTCCTACAATATTTGAAATGATTTGTAATTCACAAGTAATCTATTTGGATGAGACCATTAGCCTAAAATTGTGCAATTTTTTCTGCTAACTAAAAGCATCTAAGGCAATGATTTTATTGTTAGGCGAAACTGTTACTTCGAACTATACTAGGTAAGAGTCTAAGACTGTGATTTTATTTCATTGGTAGACAAAAAAATATGTCTAAACTTATGATATAATTAAATAAGCTAGTATTTCCTGCTCTTTTTAACTCTCTGTATATGGATTCAATCATTTTTACTGATCTTGTAACCACGAAACTATACATACTATAACGCTGAATTTACTATCATATCTTTATGAAATTTGACCAGCTTTTACTAAACATTACAACTAATATACATACAAGATTTTTTAATAAGTACTTTTACTAAACATCTGTATGTGAATTCACAAAGCCTTTATTTAGTTATTCTGAGTGAAAGACTACAGTTTTCATATTTCATTTTCACAAACCCTAGAACCTCCTAGATAAATATCAAGTTTTTTTTTTTCTGGTAAAGTTTTATGTTTTATCACTTATTTTCTCTAACCTAACATTAAATGTTGCAAAATCATTCCTATCAAAAGTTGAAAAATATGAAATAAAAATTATTGGTTTTTCTATAATGATATTGCAGACTGTAAAAGACAATTTCAATTATTTATCATAAGCTATCTCAGGCTAACAGTTAACATCTGTTTTCATTAAATTTAATTGTTTTTTTACTCTTTCAACCATCTCTAACTAGCATAACAAAGCAATAAATCACCTGGGAAGAGCTTAGTGCAAATTACAGTAAACAAAGTATCAAGTTACATCATGTATTGCCTGTCATGTACACATTGATCAAGGAGAAATCTTATTTAATATCTTAATATTTAAATTTCTTATCTAACCTCACAAATTTCTAATTTTTACATTTTAGTTATTTTGTTAAAAAATATAACAATAAAAAATATACATAAAAATGAAAAATGTAGCACCTACTTTAGCCTTAAGGCCTTTTGCAATTGTGGGTGTGTGGTTTAGTAAGCCTATTTTTTTCCCTCACTGTGTTGGTTGTCAAAAGTAATTCTTGTAATTATTGTAGAACACAAAAAAATTCATCAAACACTGGCTTTCTAATAACCCATAAATAGATTTTAAAAAAATTAATTACTTCTCAGAGAATTGGCTTTAGTCCAAACCTGTTAAGCTATCAAAGTGAATTATCAGCTTTCACCATTAAACCAAAATGGAGAATCATATGATTTAATTAGTGTAAAAATTGTTCCTTCTATTGATTATAAACATGTTCAATAACCATGCAGCCAGAGAGGGTTATAGACATTTCTTGAAAGACAGAGGAGATGGGAAAAGTGTGTCAATGCGGGCTGGACAAATAGTGATAGAGGTTGAAGTTTTATAGTTTGACTTGTCAATATCTGTAGCATGTGTTTGTCATTGGTTGAACAATCTGAAGTTCTTGTAAGGGAAAAGAAAAAAATCTATAAATGAGTAACAGTGCCACCAAGTCATGTTATTCTGAGGGGTGCAGATTGATAATTTATTTGAATACATTCTTTAAAAATTAAGAAATTAAAAACTTGGATAATATAAAAATTTATAAACTATGATTTGCTGTTAAATTTATTAATGTACATAGATAGAAGTAGTTTAACTAAATTTTGAATGTTACTCTTTGAAAAGGTTATGGCATATGAACTTTAATCTTCCCACATATCCATATTTAAAAATGTGTATCATTCTGCAAAATATTAATTTCTCAAAAAATTTATAACCAATGAACATACTAAGAAACAAGAAGGTTACTGAAAAAAAAACTATATAGCTTTGTGTACATTACTATACACAATTCACTCAAAATGTAAAAAAAGAAACAAAGACTTAAATACATAGTTAAGATTAAACAGTTCTCACAGATGGCTTGGACACTTCTGTAGCTTTCTGTTTCATCTTCATCCCGTTCACCCCCAGGAGGAGCCTGCTTGGCTCTATATGATACACCATTAAGTTGAGGTTTTTCAGAATAAACCATCGTTTCCAACTCTTCAGTTATTGCTTTGAATGATGGACGATATTTAGGGTCAATCTATGCATAAAATAAGTTCAAAAATAAAACATAATTAAACTTAGTTCTTTACTAATTAACAATGGCAAAGTGAAATAAAACTAAATACAATAGTTTTTACAAAATACATGGTTCCTTAGACTTACAAGACAGGAAAACAATTTTTGTGACAAATAATGGAAATCTGGCAAGATACAGTATTTTTCACAGTTTTTATCGCTAGTTCTTTAAAACTGGTCATTGAACTAGGAAATAACAAACACAGGCTTTTAAGAAAACCAACCAAAACAGTACATAATTCATACTCACCCTGCAACAGTGTAATGCTAATTTTAAAAAATCCGGAGGACAGTCTGGGCACATCTTGCTGAAAGCCTTATAGTCTACACCAAAGTTCTAAAATTAGTAGAGAAAAAAGTATATATGTGTCTTTTAAAAAGTAGCAACAGTTAAACAATCTTGTGTGTATATGTCTCTAAGAGTAAAACATAGTTCTTTCTCGTTCAATTCCTTCTCAACTTATTGTATCATCTTATGGTGAGATGTAAAAATGGAATAGCTTACTGTTACACAACACAAAAATACAAAAGATACTCTCGAACTACAATAAGATTCTTTTAGATTATACTATTTTATATACCATTTAAAATAACAGTTACAAATATTTCACATTCACAGATATTGTATAAAGTCCTAAAACTGAAATATTGCAAAAATTAATATGCAACAGTTAGTAATTTTAGTCTCTAAGCTTAATCTCAATCATCATCAGTTTTACATATAGTTAACTAGTTGAATGGTAGGTTTTTACAAGCAGTTTGTAAACAACATTTACAATACATAATAGATGTTGCTGAACAAAGTATAGAATGTTACATATGCATGCCATAATTAATAAACTTTTCTTATTCACTGAAAATATATTTATCTACCTATCTGTAATAACAAATTTTCTTTAAAAAAACTTCATTCAAAATAATAAACAGACATTTACTGTCACTCTGAACAAGCAAAACAAAAATATTACTTACACCTTGAACATTGACCTGGGATTTGACACAATTTCAAGTCTGTATTACTTCTATGTTCCTTTTCTTTTACATACACAAGCTTCTAAATTACAGTTTAAAACTATTGCACAGTCTTATATACAACTATGATTTCCAATGACTCTGATTATTTAGGGTGTTTAGTGAATATGTCAGATTATTATTGGTTTTTTTTAAATGATAATTCAAACACAATAAATAATTCAGGGAACAGAGACACAGATGAATTCATCAAGAACAGCATGATAGATAAGCATGACTGACTGTTCTGATAATGTAACAGATTAGCAAGACTGATTTACTCCTGATAATGTGACAGATTCATGTGACTGATTTAGTCCTGATAATGTGACAAATTCACGTGACTGATTTAGTCCTGATAATGTGACAAATTCACGTGACTGATTTAGTCCTGATAATGTGACAAATTCACGTGACTGATTTAGTCCTGATAATGTGACAAATTCACGTGACTGATTTATTCCTGATAATGTGACAAATTCACGTGACTGATTTATTCCTGATAATGTGACAAATTCACGTGACTGATTTAGTCCTGATAATGTGACAGATTCACGTGACTGATTTAGTCCTGGTAATGTGACAGATTCACATGACTGATTTAGTCCTGGTAATGTGACAGATTCACGTGACTGATTTAGTCCTGATAATGTGACAGATTCACATGACTGACTGTTCTGATAATGTAACAGATTAGCAAGACTGATTTAGTCCTGATAATGTGACAGATTCACATGACTAACTTAGCCCTGGTGATGTGACAGATTCATGTGACTGATTTAGTCCTGATAATGTGACAGATTCACATGACTGATTTAGTCCTGATAAAGTGACAGATTCACATGACTAACTTAGACCCTGGTGATGTATTAATATATTGTCTTTTAAAAACAAATTTCATATAATAACCACTGATATCATATCAAATTTATTTATACAAAAACATGTGTATATAAACTGTTCAGATAAGTGCATATCAAATTCATATATATATAAACATATGTACATATAAACTGTTAAGATAAGTGTATATCAAATTCATATATACATAAACATATGTACATATAAACTGTTCAGATAAGTGTATATCAAATTCATATATACATAAACATATGTACATATAAACTGTTCAGATAAGCGTATATCAAATTCATATATACATAAACATAAGTACATATAAACTGTTCAGATAAGCGTATATCAGATTCATATATACATAAACATAAGTACATATAAACTGTTCAGATAAGCGTATATCAAATTAATATATACATAAACATATGTTCATATAAACTGTTCAGATAAGTGTATATCAAATTCATATATACATAAACATATGTACATATAAACTGTTCAGATAAGCGTATATCAAATTGATATATACATAAACATAAGTACATATAAACTGTTCAGATAAGCGTATATCAAATTCATATATACATAAACATAAGTACATATAAACTGTTCAGATAAGCGTATATCAAATTCATATATACATAAACATATGTACATATAAACTGTTCAGATAAGTGTATATCAAATTAATATATACATAAACATATGTTCATATAAACTGTTCAGATAAGCGTATATCAAATTCATATATACATAAACATATGTACATATAAACTGTTCAGATAAGTGTATATCATTTAAGTGAATAAATGATTTGAAAAATCTCTTCAATGATAAATTTAAGAACTTACAAATAATTACAAAACAAAATTTTCAAATGCATTTTATTAAATTGATTAAACTCTCAGCACAGATTGATGACACTTCACACGTTATATAAAAATAAAAATTTATTTACCTCAGTCCTTGGCAAAATATCGGGGTCTGCTTCAATTCTAGCAATTAACTCACACAGAATGATTCCATATGAGAAAATATCAGCCTGCAGAAAGCACAAGCATTATAGTGTTAGCTTAAATCAAACATTTAAAACTAACAACTGATAACAATATGACCAGTAACTAAAATTAAAGAATGCTGTATTCAAATACAATGTATTTTAAAATTTACTTATTTAAAGTTTTCTTCCCTAGTGTTGCATGAACCTGCCTGTAACTTAAAAACTATTATAATTACTATGGTTTGCTGTGCATCACCTGAAAGATGAGATTGGGGGCAATCTTTTAATAGAAGTGACTGAAATCCAAGTAGTTGTTTTCAAGATATAGCACTTTAACTTTGCTTTCATTATTTCAAAGGTGTGTTATATAAACTTCATGATAGCCTATTACAGGCCTTTCAGTTTTCAGAATGGTCAGAGTGGCAAAAACAAATCTTCCTATAAACCCAATGAAACTACAGGAATTATACAAAAATTATTTTATTACAAATATATCTTTTGTGTTTTTCTGGATTATTTTTACTATTTTATGGAATCTTTCATCTCATTTTCCAATGACGTGAAAAGATGGCAAGAAAACATCACTGTAAAATCTCCTTCAGTTGATTTAGCTTCAATGCATTCCTCTGGCAGTTGTAGAAAACAGATGTGTGCTTGAACTATTATTTTGTACTTTTTCAGTTTAATGATCATTGCTACTATAATGGAAATTTAATTTCTTTAACCATGTTACGAATGGTAATTAGTTGGCCTACTTATTTATGTGCTCTAATGTAAATCTACGGCAAATTTGGGATCTGTTTTCGAGGAATCCCTGTAAAAGTATTTTCACGAAATATCCAGGTTCCCTTAAGGGTTGGGTGAAAAGTTTTACCTTTGTGCAAACCTCATGGCTAAGACAATTCATTTGGTACCATTTATAAGTCAGTGCAGCCAGAAGTTCAGGAGGAGTTGTGTGACACAGACAGACACTGGATCTTATTATCTATATATGATGTTTCTGATTAAACCCCACTGTATTAGAGTAACTTTAATATGATGTTTCTTTCTGATAAAACTCCTCTCCATTAGAGTCACTTTTTTCTTATGTTTCTCTCTGATAAAATCCTACTGTATTAGAGTAACTTGATTATAATGATTCTTTCTGATAAAACTCTTCTCCATTAGAGTAAATTTTTCTTGTTTCTCTCTGATAAAACCCTGCTGTATTAGAGTAACTTGAATATGACAATTCTTTCTGATAAAACTCTTCTCCATTAGAGTAAATTTTTCTTGTTTCTCTCTGATAAAACCCTGCTGTATTAGAGTAACTTGATTATAATGATTCTTTCTGATAAAACTCTTCTCCATTAGAGTAAATTTTTCTTGTTTCTCTCTAATAAAACCCTGCTGTATTAGAGTAACTTGAATAAGACGATTCTTTCTGAAAAAACCTTATTGTATTGGAAAATCTATTTTTAAATGAACTTTAAAAAATGGTAACACAATATTTTGAGCCATTACTCTAACTCAGTTTAATCCATATTTATAAAAGTATGGTGATAAATTATCATTCATCATGCTAAAGAAATTGTCTAAGCCTTTCTGCATTTGGTTTGAAAAGGAGGAAAAGGAATTAACTTGAGAATAAAATCCTTATATTTAAAACTGATCATAGAGCTCTCTGTACCAAAGAATGTGTCACAACAGAATCATATTTTTGTAACAATACTGTACTTCCATATCAGCCGAATAGACTGCTACTAGCATTCTCAATTTTTTATTCCACCTTTATTATTTGTCAATTAATTAGCATTTTATTACAAAGCAAAGAATATTTTTTAAGAAGGGCTGATAATATACCCTTTTAACTAAAATCTAACTTAATAAACACAATTACCTCAGCCAAAGTTATCTTACAACATCAATTTATAGTCTACCAATGTTATATTCCTAGATGTTTATAAACCCATGCATTCATTCTTCTAACTGATATTTGATATATAAACCCGAGTGCCTTCTTATGCAACACATAGGCTAGATGGCCATGTGTGGCCCCTTGTGTGACACATGGGCTACATGGGCAGGTGTAACATCTTACACAACACATGGGCTAAAAAGGCCAGATCAGAGACTCCAATGTTTCAGGGACAGCTATACCTACTGACCAAATGAAGAGAAGTCAAGCAACAGCACCTGCTATCAAACAAGATTATTTTAGCCGTACAACAACTAACCAACTTCTGTCAAGATCTCATAAAACCACTACAGCTGTACCATACCACAAAATACTTACCCACTGAGAGACCAGAGCAACACAAGTAGGTCACTGATAACAATGTTTTAGGAGTATTACAAAATTCAACATGCACTGTGTATTCAGTAAAATAAACACACATTAAATTATGGTATCAAATATGGTATATAAAATGATAATTTCACAAACTACATTGAGAGCTACGACAGGCTGTGCATCAGAGAGAAAGAGTCATTATTTCAAACCCTGTCAGGATACTGTTGAAACATTACAATTTGAATTATTCACATGTATCTTTTACTGGGCTTACACCAAACCTTGGTGTACTATCTGGAAAGCTGGACCTTACAGTACATTAACCCTATTACTATGGGTATCCTTTACTGCACATGACACAAAGTTTTTGTGTCTTACATTCTTTTTGTTTATGTTATACCAACTAGTATAGCACAAAATATTAGCTAATAATCCATATTTTAATAGTATGTAAGTTTTAAGTTCTTAATTCTATAAAGCAATATTTAAAATATCCTGAATTTCCCCTAGTGTGACACATTTTCTCTAGGTATCTTCTGTTCTCTATTTTATCCACCACCCCTCCAGTAACTATGAAATTAAGTGTGAATTACTCTATAAAATCGTCATTGCTCAGACAAACCACAATTTTTATGGCCTTCAATTCTGTTAGGTTACAGAGCTATCAAATAGAAAATCAGACCCCTCCCTGCCACACCCACCTGTCACATCCTCTCTTTCAGGATTTGTTAATAGCTCACTCTTAAATTTAATTATATATTGCCTATAACCAATAGAAAGTGAAGGTTTTCATTTATAAAATGGCATATTATATTACATTGTACTATGAACATATAAGCATCAATTTCACTTACAATGCATGGTTCATTCTCATGGGAAAGTTAACAACTGCATTGGATGAATTTGTAACACATCTTGTCACATAGTTAGAAAGCCAGAAAGATTTTGAGAGTTAGGGAAAATTCTCTATTTTTTGCTTGTTATTAGTCTATGATCTTTGGTGCAATATTTAATTAAATAAAATTATTTACTGCATTACTACCATTAGTATAAAAAAAAATAGGGTTAAGTTTCATCGACAATTGACAACAAGAAAAAATAAGATTGGGTAAGTACTTTATTTCTTGTTTTCATGTTTATTCTTATCTATTATTATAAAAGTAATTAAAATGTAAAAATAAGGATCTCTTTAGGTTAGTTAAGGTTAGATTAGGTAAAATAAACAATAATAATATAATAAAAATATTTCATAAAGCATGTACACCAGCAGCAGCTTGTGGGTAATATAATTCGATAGTGTAACATGAGCTGCATGTTCCCCAAGTGATTTAGAACTTATAATGGTGTGAATACTAGTTAGACACAGTTCAAGTGGCAATAAAACAATAAAATTTAATTATAAACAGATGTATAATGTTATGAGTTTAAAGCTATTTAGGATAAACGAATATAGTTTCACACTACATTTGAAGTCATTCTAGAAAGAAAAAGAGGGTAATTTAGATTTTGTTTTTGGTGATTACATGGTCAGTCAAATTGACCAACCTTGTATAGAGTTAGGGAAGAGAAAATTACAGATAAAATATAAAATTTTAATGAAAACAAACATTTGAAATGTATTTCAAAGGTTTAAGATATTACGCATGAAATTGAGATTTTGAGATGAAGAAAAGTATTTTTAATCTAAAATAGGAAAATCACTTTACAAATACACTTTTCAAAACAAATACTCGATATATTCAAGGCCAAATCTATTTTTGGTTTTTTAAAAATACTTCATTAAAAAATAAGATTTTTTGTATGTGAAAGACTTATAATATTTACTGAAAGACTGCCAAATTTTGTGAAGATATACACACTATTCTAAAAGTTAGTATCAAATCTATAATGACTTTGAATGAGTACAAAGAGGTCACATGGTCAGTCAAATTGACTGAGCCCATTGTTGAGAGAGTTAACTGGTCCAAAATTCTTGGCATAACGTATTCAAATAGTTTCTACTGGAACTTTGGTGTAATTACAGTAACATTGAAGTATCTTATAATCTAATTCTTATTTTGTGAAACATCTTATTTTCCATAGTTTCAGTACTTCAGATGACTTTTATTTTTTCATGTTTGATTAATGTTAATTGTGATAAATCTCACCTTTTCATTGTACCACTCTCCCTTTAAGCACTCTGGCGCCATCCAGTAAGGAGAACCAACAATTGGAAGTCTGTGGGCCTGATCACTGAAAGAAACAAATGGATAAAAAACTTAACATGAATTTAAATTGTAACATGCATCTCTCTCTGTCCTAAACTTTATCTCTGATGCTTCCATTGTTTACACCATTCAAATACATGTTATACACCCTATTCTGACACCAGACAACTTTATTCTGATACCTCATAGTCTCTCTCTTACTTATTTTCATACTTATTACAAACAACAAAAGAGAAATTATACTCCATAACATGTTTATTACTCCAAGGTATGGTACAAGATTTCATAAGAAGCTAGTTCTTGGAAACTGAAATATATACATACTAGTCACTCGGTAAGATATATATAAATCCATTTCTTTGTGTTAGTAATAGATGGTATAGAACTATCTACATAGTCATTTGTTTGCAACTTCAGCTTTTCACATTCCACTAATTATGTTTCCTTTTTCTACATCTCACAAAGAAAAAGTGGTAATTAAACTGACTAGCTAATACAGAAAAGGGAGGAATATAATTGAGTTTGAGGTCAGAAATCATGGACTGATTATCTTCCATCAGAAGAACTGTTCATATAAGAATCTTTGTACTAAATTCTAAATGCTGTTAGTTGGAGATCAGTGTCAGAAATCTTGAGCTGATCATATTCCTTCAGAAGTGCTGTTTGTATACAATCTTTGTACTAAGTGTCAAATGCTGTGTTTGTAGTTTTTCAATTTCTAAGACACATGATCACAATAGAAATTAATATCTTCTGTTTAAAATATTCATGAATTATTGTAGATACTCAAAATATTATACACAACCTTAAATCATACGAAAATTCGCCTTAAAACAATCAAAATATCATACAAGAATAATGCCATAAAACTGATTTAACATATAGACAAAATGTACTGATTATAACATCATTTCCAGGTTTTCAGACCTAATGCATCTTTCATCACTAATTGTAATTTATATTGTAATTTATAAGAAATATTACAAAATTATTTAGCTAGCTAACGCTCAACAGGTTAAAATATGACATAAACAGTACAAAAGCTTTTTATTGTACAAAGAAATTCAGAAAACTACAACAAGATAATTACAAACCACTATTTGAAATGAAAGAAGTGTTTCAATGAAATCTAAAAATCCCTTTGAAAACACTTTTTTTCTTCTTCTTAAATTTCAAAGATACAAAATTTTCCCACCTTGCTTCATCTGGTATTCTTTCGGCTAAACCAAAGTCTCCTACAACAGCGGTCAGATTGGTGGCCTCTCTCTTGATAAGAACATTCTGCAAAAATCCACCAAACAAAAGAGTAAACTTAGCTCGCTCATCTTCACTGTTAAAATATCTGGTGTGATTTTATTATCTTAAATGAATGAAGTTATTAATCTGTATACATATTCGTAGAACTTTTGAAAGTTTATGATAACGTAAAATTTGGCTCTTGTAACCAGATATGCTCAGCTTTAGTGTGCTGCCATCTAGTGGGTTAACATGACACCGCTTTTAATGCATTCCAAAATAGGCTTGTTCATATTTACACACTGACACAGTAATCACGCAAATGTTGGCCTGATTTCTGTTGTTTTTTAACAGATGTTAAATGTTTAACTCTCTGGTAAGAGGGATACAGAGGAGGTTGTTATGACCTAACAAAACATTCCGAACTGATAACATCCAGATCTTTTACTGTTATGAAAACAGGAAATGTTCCAATGTTTTATACATTCGTAAGTCTAATAACATAAACGCGTTAATTAAATTACTTAATTTTCTAGCCCTTTCCATTTTGTGGTAAGTAGTCCTACGTTCAACATTAATATAATTTTCAACACGAGTCCGGGACGTTTGTGTTTGTAGTACACAACCACGGGAATCTTATTGGGAAGAAAGCCCACCCGGTGTGTTAGTCATAGTCTATAATAAGTTTGTAAACGGAGAATCCTAGAAACCTGGCACTTAAATTGCCAAGCTCTATTGAATTATTACCATTACTGCTCTTTAAAATTTATTTATATGTTCTGCATCCAAAATGAACTTCTTCAGTACTTAATCTATTTCAGAGCATGTTAACATACCTCTTTCATTACTTCGGAAATATTTAACAGTAACTCTCGATCATAAGCGAAAACCTATTGTAAATATACTTTTTATTAACGTTAATCAAGCCTTACTTAACCTTGCGTAATCAATGATAAATTCTATGTTTAGTTTTACGAATGAATTACTATAACTATTCAATAGCAGACAACATTCACAGTCAGTTCAATACAGTCATCAGTTTACTCTGTTAGAACATTACTTGACCATACCTTGGACGTCAGGTCACGATGGAAGACGCCTCTGGAGTGAAGATAGGTCATCCCACGGGCGATGTCCAACGCAATCTTCAGCCTTATTGTCCATGGAAGAATTTCATTCTTGTTAAGGTTTAACTGTTCTAGACTGCCTCCGTTGATATACTATAAACAAAAAATCAATCAATCGATGATGCCCTAATACTCAAATTTCATCATTGTTTTACAACTTAGAGATAAGAGAACAAGAATATAATCCAAGTTTCACTGAACATTTCTGAGAATGTGATAAGAAGCCTAAAGTAAATGTTTTACTTATTCCACACTTTAGAATCATGTAAAAGTTTATTTAACACTGTATTACTTATTTTATCACCATATTTTATTATTATTTTTAAATAACCAATTCGTTATTCAGAACAACAGGCGAGCCAGCATGCTAGTTCTCTTAATCCCGGAGAGGGCGGGTAGTCAGTTATATGAAATATAAATTCAAGATTACGTAACTGCCACCTATCATCACACACATTAATTAAAAATTTTACATTTTTTAAAATCTTAATATTTATATTGGCCAGATGAAACATGTTTTATTGAAATTAAACCAAACAAACTAATGTTCTTATCTTACTAATCAGAACTTTATAAATCGTTGACATGGTTGAAATATATCAACAACGTTCACGTGAAACTTGTATTTAAATCAGACCACCACGAAAACCTGAAATAACAGCTGTAACATTTACACGTTGTTCCAAGAAATCGGTCCCAACAATATCAGTTCTTTTAAGCTCCATATACAGTGCTACATAATATGCACTAATGTTAGAAACACTTTTTAGGATTACCGAAGATCAAGATTAAACTGAAAACGACAGTTTAAAAAAAAATTAGGCGTAAAAACTAATGGTTTCACTCTTTAATACACCTGTATTCCAAATCAGATACAAGATGTTGCTCTAGTTTAGGTCTCCGATTGACGACAGGCAGGCTACATGCCATTAGCACGCGTCTGTATATAGGTTAATGAAAAAACACTGCTTTATCTTGTACAATACGATCTGAACTTATCTTCTCCAAATGTACATAAAAAAAAAAATCAATTCAAAAATTGTTTTCAAGGCTCCTCTAATGGTAGAAAATCGACGTTTTTTCGCCCTTCCGAGATGTATGAGAAAGAGAAACTATAAAAGAAACAAAGTGCGTGATACGTAACCAATCGTCACATTTACGTTTTGAAGGCAAGTGGCAGATTTTAATATAACCAATCATATCAACACTAATGTTATAAAGTGCTAGCTTATAATATAACCATCTAATCATGCTATAAATACAATAATCATATCTAAAAAAATATGTTCGAAAATGGATGACAAGTGTGAATGCAACTGACCACATTCAGATTATTAAGGCAGGTGTCAGATTTGAACATAACCAGTGGCACTGATTATTAAGGCAGGTGTCAGATTTGAACATAACCAGTGGCACTGATTATTAAGGCAGGTGTCAGATTTGAACATAACCAGTGGCACTGATTATTAAGGCAGGTTTCAGATTTGATTCTATCTAGTGTACATGATAATAAACTTATTAACTTTAAAAAAGGTCTACTTTAAAAGAATTTCATTTGTTTTTAATACACAAATTCAGCTATACGAAACTTAGCTTCCTATACTCCAAGAATTGTAAAAGAATTAGAGACTCCTATCCATTGTGTGGAGCAGATATTTTACTTATCAAATAACGTAGTATATTCAGAAGTACTTCAATATGTTAAGAAATCACAACTCTAAAGGAAAGGAGAACACCGAGAAAAACTACGGAATAAAACAGTTTTTCGTTGTTTTCATACGGCAACACTATGTTTTCCAGGAAGTCATACGTACATGGTAATCGCATGTTCAGACGGGTTACTTTTATTCAAATCACGGTAAAGTATAACGACACTGACACGCGCGACTTGCGAAGTTGACACACGTGGTGTGCCAATACACTTACCAGATGACAGGAAGAACGAGTAAGGGTCTGTACTGTACACGTTAACTGAATTAATAGAAGCTAGTGAGGATATCATTTACGTGTTTTACTCGCGATTTATTGATGGAATGAAATTGGAATTTCAACCTCAAAAGCACTTCATGCGCACTGGGCTAAACGACCAGGTGAAATGCCCATAATTGTCCCTAAGGGCCGACACGAGGGTTTATTGTTGATTTCAAATATTTGTTCAAAGCTACTTAAGAAATATCTGCGTTAGCCGTCCCTAATTCTAAAATATTTACTTAAGGGAAGACAGCAACTCTTTGGTTACTCTTGTCTGATCGAATGTCGAGCTTTAACCGCATTTCTTATAACGCAAAGTGCGGAGCGCGTTTTTGCGACAAAGGACCGCAAACGATGAATTATTGGATTCGAAGTCCGAGCACGCTAACCACCAGATTATCAAAAACTGGTTATTGACACCATCGACAACAAAGCGAAAGTTGACACTAAAACAAAACACCGTTTTTCCATAAATAGTTATGGAAATACTGTCTTTGATGACCTTACTTACATTTGATTATAACTAATGGGATATTTGAAGCTTTCTTTAAAAAAACGAGCTGCAGCCATTATCTTTTAAACCACCTTTACATACAAATCCAGTATTATATATATAATACACTACCTTACTGTAAACATAAGTAATGCATTACATGTGTATATACAAACCCACTATCTTGTGTGTATATCGCGAACTTTGGCGTCTGTCTCCCGTTTGAAAAACTGCGCAGGCAGCCTGATCTCCTGATCGGGACGGTTGGACTAAACATCAACGTCCAAGACAACATTTCATGGTACGGAAGGGAGGAAGAGGTCTCAGAGTACCTGACCCTCCTAGGTCACAAGACCTAAAAGACATTTAAATCCCACACTAGTTAGAGACTAAAAATAATATTTTTCAAGAGTATTTAACGTAAAATTTGTTCGATCAGTCTCTAACTAGTGAAATATGTAACTTGCAGCAAAACACAAAATGTGATCGTAAAAACATACATGGACATTGCCCTGAAAGGGGTCGGAGCAAGTGCGGTTTACTCCGACCCTATGTGATCAGGCCACCTAATGTGGAAATTTAAATTCACCGTAAGTACATTAACTGGCACACTACAATGAAAATTTTATATAACAACATCGCATCGATCCTTCCGGCTATTCTAGTGTTTTGAAGCAGTCATCTGTTCTGGATGGGTTGTTTAGTTCCTGTATGAATTCTAGTGCTATTGTTTTTATAATGTTTATAATTGGCATGTCAGTGTTGTTTTCATTTTGCGCAGGCAGGCAAAGCTCAACATTCACTTTTGAAATGACGGGAGAACAGGCATGAATAATGCTGATGCTAAATTTTATTTCGCAAGCAGAAAATTTTACACTAAATTGTTAGGAATTAATCACACTATTATTGATGTTTCAAAACGTGACGTGATTTACCATATGTTATTGTTAAGCATTACTTTTCAAGGTGGGCGGTATAAGTATCTTAATGCAACACGTGTGTGTATATATACAAAGCCAGTATTGTGCATATAATACAATATTTTACTGAATACGTAAGTAATGCACGACATGTGCATATAAAACCCACTACTGCATTTATAAGCAATGCACGAAATACTTATAACCTATTCACATTTAAATAGTGTATTATATATTACACTAAACCTGTATATCACCCACTGCTTTACATGCTGTGTATAATAATATCTATGAAGTGTGAACTGTACAATATAAAATAAGCATTGTTTATTATACATGTTATAATAGCTTAAATTAAAAAAATGCGTTGTATATTAGACGTAACCTATGCAGTGACCCGTGCTTCATAAAATATGCATTGTGTATTATATATATTCTATGTAGCGTTACCCGTGTATTGTACTTTTCCAGGCCGACAAAATCTCAAATTTGCCAGGGTTAAGAAGTTTCTACGAAACGCCATATTTTTCTCGAACTGCGCACGTGAAACAGCCTCGGTGTTTAAATATATAGCATCTTGTCTAACTGACATAAATATTAAATTCTGGAACATGAAGTAAATGCAACGTATTGGAGGAAGTTTTCCACTGCCTTAGTTCACGTAAAACAATACCTTCTTGGCAAGCGACCAAGTACTTCTTAGTGCTTGGCAAGTAACTCTTGGATCGAGCGGAGTAAATTTAAATTTAGAATAAAAATATTTCTATAAAACTGTATTGTGCCTTGATTCTGTAACACACGTTGGATATACAGTAAGGCTTACTTAGTGTGAACAGTTACTTTAAAAACCGTACGATTAATAATGTATGTTTATTTCCTCTAGGCCTTGCTACATCTACTCTGTGGGGAGGTGAAACGAAAATAACCCAAGCTCGTGGGCTGCGGAGCACGTGAACATACCGTGGATTCTCTCGTATGAGGAACTAGCACACACGAATAACCCCATCTATTCCAAAACTTCAACAAATCAATAAAGGATGGAAACGACCAGATGCCGACTGGATCAGAAAGAGGTCAAAGAACTCTAAGATCTGGATGGTGATGTAGGTTCATCTTAATGATGCCCAAGATATTTGTCGAATCAATACATCCCACAAATTCGTTCAATAATAAAAAAAATTAAATACATAATATCATGGCACAAGAAATGACATATAAATCGTGTATCATCACATAAATAAAAAATCATACAGCTTAATAGACACGTATAAACTTACACATCTACAAGTCCTGCAATATTCTAAATTGGATCTAATGAAGATTCCCTATCTAAACAATAAAGAAAAAGATCTCTGAGGTTCACAATCGATGTTAACAAACGTATATAACTCAAAGGAACTAGAACTCAATAAATTATTTCAACTACTTTCGTTAGGGGGCGCTCATAATAGAAATTTTAAATTATATCACAGGCTACATTCAATACCATCACGTTTGGCACAATAATCAAGATTGATAATTTGTTAAGTTCGAAGTTTTATCTTTTACAACGTAACTACCACAAAAAAGCATCAACATCTTAAAAAGTTCGATGTTTTGGAGATTTGGCAAAGCTACACGGAGTTAACCTGCTCAATGCCGTTCCTAAATTTGAACTGATAGGCTACTAGGGAAGGCAGCTAGTCAACAACACCCACCACCAACACTTGAACTGCTCTAATACAACAGTGGGATTTGACGGTCCCTTTTATAACGTACCCACAACTCAAAAAGCGGAACGCGATTTTGCAGCACCGGGACAAATTCAAGAAGAGAAAACCTATTTATTTCTTTAGCAATTAAACAACACTAGTCAACAACACCCACCACCATCACCTGAACTACTCTAATACAACAGTGGGATTTGACGGTCCCTCTTATAACGTACCCACAACTCAAAAAGCGAACGCGATTTTGCAGCACCGGCACAAATTCAATAAGAGAAAACCTATTTATTTATTTAGCAATTAAACAACACTAGTCAACAACACCCACCACCATCACCTGAACTACTCTAATACAACAGTGGGATTTGACGGTCCCTTTTATAACGTACCCACAACTCAAAAAGCGGAACGCGATTTTGCAGCACCGGGACAAATTCAATAAGAGAAAACCTATTTATTTATTTAGTAATTAAATAACACTAAAGGCTATATCACATAATATTTACTGCCCGTCTTTTTTCCATGTAGTATCAAAACAGATAAACCGTTGTTTTAACTCGTTTAATGGTAGATTGGTTGTCTTTCAAATTCTCTAGATATAAAATACATCAAGCTGAACCTATGCTTGTGCCAAAGGTCGTTTCGTTATAATCAGGGACTACATGAAGGTAAAAAAAAAGATCAAGTCAGAGAAACTGTACATAAGTATGTACTTTACGAATGAAACGTATACTAACAGTGTTGATGAAAACACCATCAACTAGGAATAAAACTGCAAAAACTGACACATCTTGTCTATTTTCATTGAAATAAAAAAACAGAAAAATTCGTCAGATATTTCTTTGTTGTTGTAAGTAAAGTTGAAGCATGAAGACTCCGAGAGAGAAGAAAGAGAAAATAACAGTATTTTTTAACGTAATATACCCCAGGATTTAGTCCCTCAAGACTTGTACATAAATATGGCCAAGTAAAGCTAAACCGGTTGTTGTAATCAGTAAACGGGCAGAAAACAAAAATAATCATATCCCATTGCTATAAAACTGTCCTACAACCACAAAAACGTAAAACATAATCAGATACAAATATTTTGTTTTAACTTACTTTGTAGGCCATCTGCGGTCGTCATAAATATATATATATATATATATATATATATATATATATATATATAAGATTTTTCGTGTGTGCCAACATATACAAAAACTTGGCACACATACATGTCACCGAAGACCCAAAAAATGTGTTTGTTTTTCCTTCAAGCACAAAGCTGCAACATGGGCTATCTACGTTGTGCCCACTGCAAGGATCAAAATTTGAATTTAACACTCTAAAAGTCCTCAAGTTTGCCGTCGAGCCACACCAGTGGGGCCAGAAATACTTTTTGAAGTTCCGATTGCAACCACCAGGAGCACGTAAACTTTAAATATGGATATACAAAACAAAACGTCAACTTGACTAAAACATAAGCCCCAGATATTATCTTCGTGGATTTTTAAATATTAGCTGGATCTATGTATAATTAACTTTTCGATTTTTAAAACTTAAAGTATTTTTTGTATTTTGAACCTGGTCAGCTTATATCAGTAAGTACAGTAACTTAATTAGTAAGACTGCTTAAAATTTTTTCTTTCGTTTTTAACATAAAATCCATCACAAAATATTGCTATAAAACCTCCATAGCGTTTGAAAGTTAGTAAGGGCTAATGGCGACACCGTTCCTTTTATCAAGTGTGGATCAAACCAATTCCTGAACGCTGGTTTTGGTAATAAAAAGTTCATGGCAAGCTAAACAAAGAAAGATGCAATGGTTGTAAGAAATGGACATTAACCATTTTCGAACCTGTGTCCAATGACCTTTGTACACGGGTCAAGTTTAAGCTGGTTAATTTATTTACAAAGCGTGAGAGATCTGCGCAACTATCAAGTACATTCTGTTGCTTGAGTTCCCCGAAAGATGTTTTTATGTTAACCATCAAAATGTTGATCTTGTCGATTAACGAAAGCAAGAATTTCCAATTCGTTTATCTTCTAGTAAACTTTACTGGAAGAAAAATAATATTCATTCTCGATTCACATCGAATCTTCTTCAGAATGTTTATTCAATTACTTCGTTTTTTACTGATGTCTAAATAAATAACTGTATCGTCAGCATGTAAGATCTACTACGTAATCTTAACGTATTCCATATGCTTTACATCCCCAGCGATGTTCTGTACACAATTAACGTTGCATCTAAACTAAACCCATGCGCAGCGCCCACAGAACGTGATTCATCACTTCGGAAAAAAATAAAGGAAACGTGCATTATAATACATTACATTAAGTACCATGTTATTTTAAGTACATAATATATTATAAACGTCCAAGGCTGTAGTGTCAGAGGTCATGTTTTACTCATTCGATCACTTCCGTGTCATTGTTTCTTCATCTCTGGAACCCATTAACGGACCCCACACTTAAAGATGTACCTTTTTTACATACCTTCTTGAAAATACAGGCAAGATGGTATGTAAAAAATCATTGTATGCCATAGTAAGCAAAACCTTAACCACTAACATATTTTTATCACATTTCTGCCAGATACTGTTAAAACTTTTAAGGTCAAAGTTAACAATTTACGATAAGAAGACTGAGACAATGTACAATGTATCAGGTCTCCCACTTCTACATTACAACGCAGATCGAACATGCAAGTTATGACCAATTTTATGGTGTTAAAAATGTTGTTCTCTATTTTAACCTTCACAATAAAATAATTACTGAAATTATTCATTACCCCCTACACACACCCCCAAATCAAACCTGGAAGACAGTCACCGAAATAAACAATTTTTACATAAAATAAACTAAAGCTCGTTATCATTACAATAAAGACAATAATGTCACTGTATTACCCCTTAAAATGGATCGGGGCAAAAACATTACCCCCTTACAAGTAAAATAATTAATATATATAGATAGATACATACATGTGAAACTAACAACAGAAAGTGTCTACATTTAGTATTTATTTAAAAAAATTTTTATCTATATAAAGAATCAGTTCGTATCTGATACTGTTTCTATGTCAACAATAAATTGAAGAATCTTTGATTCTATAAAAAAAACATTTTTTGTTTTCTTTCTACACATACTCGTTTCTCATTTTCTGGTGTTAGCCGATATCTGTTTATAGAAAATGAATATCAGTTGGGTAACGATGTCATACAGTGGCTAACCCTGGGTATCTTCAAGGTATTTTTTATGGCTTTTATATTTATAAACGTGTAACGAGTTTTGTACAAGTACCCACTGTTAACGGTAGACCTTTTGGAAAGGTGTTATCTGTAAAGTGTTCATTACTGACCGACATAAACGTTCAAGCAAAACATTTTCTGACATTTACTGCTTTCTAAGTACGTGCATAAGTTATTATACATATACTTGGGCTCCATATAAGTATTCAATTTTACTGACTTTCTTCAGTAATTACGAACATATTACAAATTGCACGACATCACGATAAAACGACTAAATTTGTTTGTTGTTAAACACAAAGCAACAAATGGGAATCAAAACCCGGTTTTTAGCGTCATAAGCCTTCGGACTTTCCGCTGAGCCACGGGGAGGGGGGGGGGGAGGATCAGAAATTTAAAAATCCAGTGGTGGTAAAAAACTTATAATTATAAAGCTATGCAAAGAATTCTGTGTAGTTCAAAATCAAAATTTGAGGGATAACAAAAGATAAAAGACAAAGTAATACATGTATGGCTACAAACGATGTCTTAAACGACACGCATATGTGAGGACAAGAACTACATTTTCTGCTATCCTAGTGGTAAAAATAACGCGAGGTGTTCAACTGTGCCACAACTGCAAATAAGAAACTAAAGAGAGACAGATTAGAAAATTCTCCTTCTCTCTTTTCTTTTTTTACTTCTCACGTGAATATCGTAGCTGCGCCAAATAAAAGATCATTTATTTTGATCAATCCTTTACGGACCAGATGTAACCATAAACTGCAGATGTACAGTTGATTTATTTAAAAATTAAATAAACATCACACTACCAATTTAAAATGGCGTTATCATTTACCTTCGTAACAACAATAATGAAAGGTTGGCTCAAGTTCCTCTTACGATTCGGTCCAGCCGCCTCCATGTTAACTCAAACCTTGGCCAAAAAAGTGTATCAGTGGGACCAGTTTAAATCGGGTCAAATAATGCAAAACTTGTTTCTTGGTGGAACTATAAATGTCTAACAAATTATTGCAAGGCTTTCACGCTCTGTCAATTTTATGTTTATTCACACCCACAAACATATATACATAAATACAATGATGTAATAAAACAATAAATTTTCGCATTATTTTATCATTAAAAACCAACGAGAATTCTTAAAATACCCGTTTAACGCCTCTCTGTTCTTCATCCTCCCCCAAAAGTATATATTTAAGTCGCAAGAAGTATATGTACAGGTACATCCTCATTTCATTACTGCACATTAAAATATTATCCTCAAATTTCCTACCACTACTGCTCGCTTTCTTAGTTAACTGAAGAATTTATTTTTTGTTTTTGCAGAAAAGCTTACAAGCCTTGAAATGACAAGTAATTGGACAATTATACTCAATTTTCCTTATCTAAAGAATTAACCTAATCGTGGTATAACGACAACTCACCATTTCTAGAAACATCAAACTCAAATACAGAAGAGCACACTAGCTATTATGTTTCACTGACTCAATAAAGGTAATTGGTCAGAATTACATTAAAATAGTTATTCATTACAACAGGCTTGACTACTATACTAAATCGTGAATTGCTACACTACGCTACGAGATTAAATTCACGAGAAACGTACCTCAGTCAGAGCATGTAGCTGTCCTTCGTGAACACACACTCCCATGAACCTATAGAAAAAAAAGAAACAAAATTAAACAGTTTTTCCACAAACGTGTCACTTTTACTGATCTCTATATCAGCTTTAAGCGTTCTTTGAAACATTATATTCTTTCTCTAAGAGAAGAAAGGTTACGTAAACTTTACAATACGTATACAGTTAATTAAAGATTCATAGTGGACTGACAGTCAATCTTAATGAATCATCTACAACAAGAACCAGATTTTTAAGAAGATATACAGGAGGAAGATTCAATATAAAACCTTTGTTGCAGTCTACAGTGACCAATAGGGAGGCATTCCATAAAAATATGTATACAGAAAAATTAAACTACATAACGTCAATTACTATAATAACCAAAACAGGAACAGGTTGTCAAAATACGTACAATGGAGAAAGGCTCGTTACAGACACCTTAGTATTCACTATAATAACCAATGGAGAACCAGGTCACAACACTGTCTACAGAAGAAGTATTCACAGGCCAAACAATAGAAACCAGGTTATAATAAAAAGCAAGAGTTTGTCTACCACAATAATCAATGTACTAAAAATAATAACATAAAAACCCTCCTTGAGCAATGGAATGCCCGTTACAAATAACAGTAAGTTTCATCGAACTACAGCTAATAATCCAAAGCCTATTGTCATTTGTTAGGGTCAAGTCTCAATAGTTGGGTCTAAAAAGCTGATTTCAGCGTCAAACTGCACAATGAACTATCTGCGCTGCATAAGCAGCGGGGATTGGGTCCCGTATTTTATCGTTTAAGCCATCAAATTTATCGCTGAGTCACCAATGGCCAGGTGTATCACACGAATATAAAAGTATACCTGGAAAGCAGAAACGAACACAACAACATGGAAGTCTGATGCTGCCCGGATTTGAAGAACTGTATCTCGTGGTTAACGGTACAATGAACAAACTGATCATAACGTGCACTTACTTAATCTGAATATTTGAAACTTACCGATCAATAGTTCGTATTCACTTTTTCATCTAGATCTAACAAATAATGGATAAAAACCTAAAATCGACGTTCAATTCACCTATTATTGGTACTTCCTAAATTCCAAACTACAGAAGACAAATAACCTACGTTATTAGGTCATAAAATAATAAATTCACCGTTTTCTCTATGATACACTCGAATGGTGACCAATTAACGGGTAATGTACATCTCTCTCTCTCTCTCTAGTGTCTAGATTCTGAAATATGCTAACTTGTATAAATTAACCTCTTTTTTTTATATATATAGCACTTTGTGTAATAAGTATAAGAGACAGACTTCTATTTATAAGTTCTTTATGAAATGTAATCAGACACTTTGTGTCTAATTAATTAACACTGCATACCCACGAAAAAAAGAAACGGAAAATCGACCCGAAATTACAATATTTTATTTAATCTCAAACATCACAATACAAGAACGACAAAAAAAAATGTAACGGAAAATAAACAAACTGTCAATTTTTGACACGTTAGGAGTTTAAGAATAAAATGATACTTCGAAACTGTTGGTTGGCCTGACACTGAACACCAGTCCTCGTTCCAATCTTGTTTAGTTGCTGCAATGTTTATCCGCAAGTAAATATATTGAGCTTAAAAATATATTTATTAGTGATATTATTTCTGTTAAAACATACTGTTCACTGGAAATACCGTCGCGATAAAAATGCACAGTATATTATAATGTTCCTAATCTAAACTATATTAATGGAAAATAATACGAATCGATACCAAAAACTACGACCGTGAGACGACCTTTGGATATCTATTCCGTAAACAACACGAGCTCCCTTCTGGCGACGATCCAACTATGGCATTCCAAGGGCAACATATGTAAATTAAACCAAACAGTCTTGCGTGACACAGCCCGTTACGAACTTCTCCACCTTGATACACTCAATCCAAATGCTCCATTTTGTATACAATGATGACCATAAATCATATTTTTGAAGTTGGTACACTTAATATGATTGACACTTACGTGTAAATATGGTTTGGTTTTGAATTTCACGAAAAGCTACTCGAGGACTATCTGCGCTAATTTAGCAGTGACAGACTAGGAGAAAGGTAGCTAGTCAACACCACCCACCACAAACTCTTGGACTACTCTTTTACCAATGAATAGTGGGATTGAACGTCACATTACAACGGCTAAAATGGCAAGCATGTTCATTGAACGGGAATTCGAGCCCGTGACTCTCAAATTGTGAGTCGAGCGCCCTAATCACCAGGCCATACTAGGCCTACTACACAGTTATAACCTTTCGTTAGTTCGTCTTAAAATAACTACAGAATAACGTTTTAAAAGGTTAATTTTTATATACGAACCTGCTGCTTCGAACAAAACACCGAACGTCATTGTTCGACACAATGCCAACGCGGATACATCGATTAAAATCGGATTAGGAAAAAAAAACTTCTTGTAAATGAAAAACAACGTATTAAATGTAGGTAAATAGAACCTGGATATTGGGGAAAATGCGTGTGTAAAAACGTAAACGTACCAACTACAGAAACTGGAGTTCTGTTGGGACTGTTGACGTTAATTCCAAATGCCCTTTTCTCCACGCTCTGTTTGTGATCTTAATCACATATATGACATTAAGTTCTACAGCAGACACTTCCCAATCAGGTTTTACAAAAAGCAGTGGTTTAGTTTATTTCCGATCACACCATAATCGCTCGTTAATGTGCACAACACGTGATTCAGCACTCCATCCTTGTTGTTTTAAAACAATTTAATCCAAAATTCTTTTTACAAAATTGCTAGTTCGAGAAAATCAAAAAGAATTTCAATAAACGCACGTTTTCATAGGAGGGAGATATCAGGGGGTTAAAACACTACTGAAAAGCTAGAAGCTCGAAATTACACACTTCCCATACTTTGAAATTCCGATAGAATTCATATGAACTCTGTGCAATGGCTTTTAAACTCATTCTTAAAGCATTTATACATCAAATTGCTTGTATTTCCATGCTTTCTGTGGTTCCCTAAACGTAAGAATCCCAACAAAAAAGGAATCAGAAATTCTACCAATATAACAATAATCCCACTAACTACATCTGGAGTGACTTAGTAGAATTATACATGTATAATTTCACATATTATCATTTTTGTTTGGTTAGTTCTTTACACTGAGTATTCTATCAGGTTAAAAACTAATTATGCAAAATGTGGACCCACCTAATAATGAACGATATAAAAACAAGATGATATTCAAAGGGTTTAAAACATAAGCCAGTATATGGTTTTCTAATTTCAATTTTACGCGTATCAAATTTATTGTTATTGCACTCCTCGGAAAAGCTGGAAATTGGTTAGTGATGGACAATGATTCAAAGAGTCCCACTACTTTAAAAAAAAAAACAAGGTCAAGTAAGTTAAACCTCTACGAATTGAAATGTGCTCGAACAAAAATACACACTGAAAGTTCATTGTACTGACACACACACAGATCATAAGAAGTTAAATGCTAATCACTTACATCATCATTATCTGCCTTGCGGATAGAGATGTGCAGTGACGTCAGTTCTTTTTAAGAAAAGTCAAAAACGTATTTCGATCATCTTGATTTTGTAATTTCACCCTACTTATTAGCCAACTTCGCAGAGTTCCTTGTAGGCGTGAGTCTAACACGTAAATATATATAGGGTGAACCAAGATAATAGAGTCCCTATGTATATAATATTCTTAAATCAGCACTCCGCAACAGCAGTTCTCACAACGAAATAAACCTCTCTGAACTGACCATTCTTAGTCACGTTCATGTTTAGTGTTACATGGTTGGAGAATAAACTTCTTCTATGTAAGGTCTATGAATTCCTACTCTTTTTGGATCTCTGATTTTTATTTATTGTCTTGCAAATCCATTACTAAATATACAACGATATTTACAGATATATTCTATTGTCTTGAACATTATACAAAATAAAAACAATGATTATGGTACATCTTACACACACATCCATTATAACATGTCTGGCACAGAACATTATACAAAATAAAAACATGATTATGGTACATCTTACACACACACACATATCCATTATAACATGACTGGCACATAACATTATTACAAAATCATCACCACACCTGAGAATGTTAGGATGAGACAGTCGATTCATCAGCTGAACCTCACGAAGCATGTTCTGCCGGTTGCTAAAAGACGTATTCATTTTGAGTACCATCACTTGACCCGTAGTTCGGTGAGTTACCTGCAAATAAAGATAACAATTACGTATAAAAACGAAGGCAAGATTCGCATATAAATGTGTGTGTGTGTGTGTATATATATATCAATTCTAATAACATATGACATTAGCAACATTGAGATAATTTCACTGTATTCATGACTTTCTGTTTTGTGATTCATTTGAATTAATTAGCAAACTATGTGTAACACAACACGATTAACTACACATACATTTCCTGTATACCAATTTACACTATGGTAAAAAAAAGTTTAACCATTAAGTTTCATAGCTAACAGAAGTAGTCACATCGTATACGGTTTAATGTTACATATATGTATTATTCAGAAACTATACTACGTACTTATTAAGATATACTATATACCCAGAATAAGCTTCTTTGGTGTCATTTCCTGTTCATCCTAAGTGCTTTGGTCTACAATGTTTTTCCAGACGAAGCAGAAAATGACCCCAGTCCGTTCCATTCCGTCCAAGCGGCTTAAAATAATTGTAAACACTAAAATACCGTCCACTAAATTTTTTCTCAGTAAATGTTTTTACGCTAGGATCTGCTGGTCTATTGTTGATGCTGTGAAGTGATAGCACCTCATTCAGAACACTCTTAAATACGTTTCTTTAAATAAAAACTGACAATAATCACAATTCACTTGTTTAATCTGGTTCGTATCATAATATTCATGATGATACATATAAATAGCACTTTAGACTACTACTACTACCTCTGTCGTATCCCAGTCAGCCTGATGAGCCCTGTTATAAGGCCTCGTCCACACTGGGTATAGGAGATGCAGTGTGGTTGACATATTATAACGTATTCTTATTTGCTTTCAATCATGGTTCTTATAATTACTAATGTAGTTTTCTCCTGTTGAACAAGACTAGTATCCTGATTCTCCAGTTCTTGTGAATGATATCAAAGTTAATTAAAATCAAAATAAAAAATAATATAATAATAATCAGTGTTAAAATTTAAAAAAATAAATTGAATACTACTGTATTTTCAATTCTTACCATCAAAATCGGACTTGTAAACGACTTAAATACAAATTGACAATAATTATAATTTAAGTTCTTAATATTGTTCAAATATTGACAGTCATTATTAATCAAGATTCATGATATATTTATCAAATAAGCATTAAGAAGTTTTTCGCAAAATCCACTGTAAATCCCAGACGTCACCTTAAAGTCATATCGGATAATGCCTGTGGTAATAACTCCTAAATGCGTTGGGAATATTCCATCTACCAGACAAAATCCAAATGCTGATGTTAAACTAGTTAGTAATCATGGAAAATCAATTAAGGGTATGGAGTTGAGTGCTTACACCCACAATGTCACAACTCCTTACTGCCTTTCACTGTGTATATATATGTGTGTGTGTGTGTGTGTGTGTGTGTGTGTGTGTGTGTGTGTGTGTGTGTGTGTGTA